ATGAAGCGCTAACGTCATGCCACATCATGACCTGAACCACGGGTGGCGTAAGACAGCAGCCATCACAACAGACAGTGTTTTCTGTTTTATGACGTTACAGGACTAATTCTACCTCTTTTGCTTATGTTGACTGGAATCTTTTTCCCTGAGCAGATCTGGAGTCAAAGTTAAACTGTATATAAGGAAGGAAACAATACAAATAGGCAGGAAATATAGGCAACACACTCCACAGATTAAAAACACTTCTGTGATTTGCCAGTGCCCTTGAAAAGCGTTTCTAACTAATTCATTCCCTCCGCTGGGGTAAGTAAGTCTTGCTGTACAAGATCACTATCGTGTCATCGGTGGCATGGATGCCATACTGACTCAGCTTCGCTCCGTACTCTTCTCTTCTCTACCCTGGTGAAACAATACTCTCCCAGGATGAGCAGTATCTCCAAGAGCAGGTACTAATTTACAACAGGAGCAGCTTTCACAGCTGTGGCTTTGTGGGACAGATGTTCAGGGGCATGCAAAGCATTATCCTGATGGGAGGTTCCATTAATCTTGCTCACATGTGTCTAATTTTGCCCAGCCTAAAGCCATTAAGATGCATTATTTCACTCACATGAATTTCAGATTTTTCAATGCCATGTCTTCAAAAGGTTTCCAGACTAAAACCTACTGTAAGGTGAATGAAGTATAAATTATAATGAAATATTAACTCATATAAATCCCTATTAACTCTAATGGAGAACTTCAAAGCAAACCCAGCTCCTCCTCCACCACTCTGCTGCTTTGTGAGGTATAAAGATTGTCCTAGCACTCTTGGGTTTTAAATGGGATTTTCTATTTGATCTTTTTACACTACAATGTCTTCTCTTTCTCTCGTCAGTGGAGCTCTTTGGCAAGATTTAGGAAAATCTGAACCGTCAAACAGACCTCTGAAAGGATCTCTAATATGCTTATTTTGCAAAGCATCCGTGTACATTGAAGTAGGGAGGGATTTCTATGTTGCCGTAAGTGCTAGGCAGAATCAGCATTCATGTCATAACCTCTCCAAGAATTAAGGAGTATCCTTAAATCTGGGGGTCTGGAAATGTAGAGGTTCAACTCACAAGTCACTGCTATTTAAGTCTTCTAATAGCCTTGCAAGTCTCTTCCAGCAGAGAAGAAAATCATCAGAACTGATGCTTCAAATGCAAACAAACAAGCAGAAATGCATTTATTTAATCTGGCAGGGAAGGTTTATAAGGTCAGCTAATCAATAAATCAAACCAGTAGTAAAGGGCAAAAATAGATTTGACTAACGCTTCATGGTTCACCACAAGATAACAAGCTTATTTTCAGGCAGAGTGGTAGCATGAATTTCAAATGCTGTTGCTGTATTAAAAATCACATTGGTTTAAGTACCAATTAACTGGCGATAGGAAAAGTGACATCCTCAAAACAGCTTAAAACTAATGTGTATCAATTAAGCCTAGCCATCGAGGTAAACTAAGTTCCTATCTGATGTTAAACGAGGGCTGATTCAAAACCACTTACACAGAACTGATCTGGGATAATTTGGCAGGAGTGAGCTGATGAGTTCAAGCTTACAAAATGCTTTGAAGATCTGACATCTTTTTTTTTTAATATCCTCAGTATACTATATAATATGCATTATCTTGCTCATAATATACATTATCTTGCTGAAAACTTATTTACACAAGAAAAGTTTTGTGGGTTTGCTGACCCAGAGGCTGCAGAGAGAGCTGCACATAAGTTTATTCTGCTGGCGTGGGTCTTCAGGTGGTCACAGCTTTCTGGAGCACCACAATATTTAACAGATCAGTGAAAGAAGCATGTTTCTGTAGCAGTGCCTGGTGTCTTAAGAAATTGCCCTCGCCACATCACCAGGCCTGAAACACGAAAAGCGTTTCTTATGAGAACATGCACATGAGAACTGTAACCAAACCGAGGAAGCTGGTTATGTTACACTCCCCAGCAAAGGGGACTCAAACATACTTTACAGCTAGATGCAGTTATTGAACTTGCCTCTGGCATTAACACAAACCATGAACAAACTCGGTCCATCTTAACTGCTCCAGTGGAGTGATCTGGTAGCACCACGTTGGGCGCAGCAGCTCTGCAGCCCACAGTGCTTAGGGTGCTGATGTTGGCTGTGCTGGTCTTGGAGGAACTGAGCTATCAGAATTAATCCATGTACAGGTCTGTCGTCTTTTTTCTTTGACACACAATTTTCTTCATTTTTTCAATGTGCATTGATCATAGGAAGCTGTATATGCACAATGGCTATGAAGGCCAAAACTCAGAAAAGTGAATGTAAATGGGTTTGCCCTTTCAGCAGTCCTTCTTCTGCCGCAGCTGAACATCCAGATTTCGCAGGTGTTTCAGAAAGCCACGGTTGGGTGAAATCCATCGATGTTCCTTCACTGTTTTGATGGCTTCAACCAATGGGAGGTGGTGATTTATCATGAGATATGCTAGGACTAGGGAAGCTGACCTGCTTACTCCAACTGCACAATGTACCAAAATCTTAGCTGGTTAAAAAAAAATAATTAAAAAATAGATTATAACCACAGAAGAGAAGCAGTACAGTGGATGAAGTTTAATTTAAAGGGAAGGCCAACCCCTTCTGCCTTTTCCAGCTTGGTCAGAGTAACACTGCAAACATGAGGTATTTCTTACCCTTCCAATGGATCACATGAAGTGCTAACAACCATGTCTAACTTGCAATTGTTACACTAGTACGAGAAGTGCCATAAGATCCCAACCGGATCTCAGAAACACTGGGAAATCAAAGAAAACCCTGTTGAAGCAATGAAGTTGTTCTGTTGTGAGCAAGAGGAAAATCAGATCCACTGATTTCAAAGAGTAAAGTCTTCACCTAGGTGAAGAAGAATGCTAAAGTCTGGCCTGAAAGGGTGGCACCAAGACATTAGCCACTGAGAAAAATGACTGGCCTAGTACCATTGCATAATAAGGCAATTTGCTGTGACTGTAATCCTCTTTTGAAGGCAGAACTTGTGATACAGACTGAGACAGCTCCATTAATGCCAGTTTACTCATGCTAAGAAATGGTCTTTTATGTAATACAGATTAATTAGTATTTTATTGCACCAGTGCCAAGAAGCTCAGTCTCTTGTGCAACACGCTATAAATCTCCTTGGGTAAAGGTAAATCTTTTCCTCAGGGACACAGCCCTGTTCACGCAGGAAGCTCATCTGCAATACATGAGCTTCTTCATACGGTTGGTGGCTGTAGAAATCAGGACTTTTGTCTCTTTATTCATTTGTTCTTACAAATACAGTTGCCATAAGAGGGTCTCAAAAGAGAGTGTCCATTTTAAATGTATGGCTTTGCTGCTCCCTTTTTGAATCAGCTTTTCATTCCACATACTTTTTCTCTTCTGTGCCTCCTTTCCACTCTGTCCCAGTCTCTCTCCTGCACTGTTCATCCCTTTTTCTCACATCAACTTTTTGGGACCTTGTTGGAGCTACACACATGTACCCAGCACTCCCTCCTCCCGCCACCCACCGTGCAGGTGACCAGCAGCTGGCAGGAGACCATGTAGTGACTTGTCCACCACTGAGCTTGTGGCGCTGACCTGGTATGAGAGGTTGCCAACTCACATAAAAATGCGACCAACAATAATTTTGTACCTCCTGGCGTGTTCAAGGCGTTGTGGATAAACTGCGCCGCAGAGAAAAAGAACTGGCTAATGTCAAAGCTTGGGAGGTCATGGGCTGGTACACCATAGTAATTGATGGTCGTTCCGTAAAAGTCCTGGCCTCCGTGGCTGTATGCTGTGCCGTGGGCAGCATTTAAAACATGGGTCACACCCATCTTCCACAAAACAAATCTGTTGTGAGCTGTTACTCTAAGGAAAAGACAAACACAAACAGATCGAGATGGGTGCAGAGATACTCACAGAGCAGGAGCAGCACTGCGATTGCATCTCCCCCGGAGCGTCAGCCCCGTGCATTGCTTCTAAGGGCCAACTGAGAAGCAAGTACCAGCTGAGTCATAATTTTATCTCGGAAACTGTACTGTCTGCAGTGTAAATGACAGCAATTAGCAAAACTATGAGCTGTCTAAAGCCGCACCTATGAGGCATACTAACAGGCAGAGCATACTGTGGAGGTGTGTCCGTAAAGCTGTACTTACAGGTCTCCTAGGAAGAGATTTGGCCATACTTCATCAACGTGGTTGCAAGAAGGCCGCCCGGTGTTCAGGAGCTGCTCGATTTCTGTAAGGGAGGGGACGTCTCCCGTGCCTGCCCCAGTGCCTTCGGGTCCCTGGGGGCCCAGCGCCTCCGCCCCAGACATGCTGGGAGCCAGGGACAGACCCCGTTCCCACCGGGCAGAGGCACAGCGCTGTGCGCTGGGGTGCTGCCAGACCCCGCGGCGGTCACGGGGGATGCCGGCAGATGGGCTGGGGCAGGTGCCGAGCAACAGCTCCCGCTGCCAAGCTGTGCCACCTCTGTGCTGCAGCGTCCCCCGAAGCCCTCCCCAGGGCTGGCCACTCGCCTATGCATGGCCCTGGCAGGGATAGACATTTGAAGCAGATGCATGTACTGAACGGGGCCTTACTGCATCCTTACTGGTTCCAGTCCGCTCCCTGGGGCTTGTCCCCAGAGCCACGCAGCTCTGTGGCACAGCAGCCTCGGCGTCAGGAGCATCAGCCTCGTGTGGTGGCAGCCCCCTGCCCGCAGCAGCCCCCTGTCCTCGATGCAGCAGCAGCAGTCAGTGAGATCTGGACATTCATCACAAGCGATTAAAGGCCGATAAAGGAAAATAGAAACCTGTCCAGTGCAAGAAGAGTGGCAACTATCTCCCAGTAACAACTGCTTCCCAGTTACTTTGAGGTGCTTAAAAACATAGCTGCAAAAGGGTCAGAAATGCACCAGCGGGTCCTACCGACATGGTGACCGCGAGGTTAAACACCAAGCAGATGATGCAGTCTTGCCTGTCACCAATGACCTAGAGAAATGTATTTCTTGAAGGTACTGTTTCTTCAGCAAGGACGATTATCTGAACCTAACTGTATGTTACACGCTTAATCTTTTCTATTGCAGTCCCTGCTTTCACCAATGTGTTAATACAATGCACATACTGCATGATACCTCCCTCTGTTGAAGAAAGAACAAAGAATGTGAGTGTAATGGTTGACAGGTGAAACTTGTAAGCCACTGAGTTAGTTCATATAGGAAAGTCTGGTGAGCCACAGGTTGGAGACTTACCATGTGAAATGGTAGTGTCCATGGGCCCTTCCAAGCACAGGAGTGCCCGTGCTTCTGGTCTGCAGGCTGTGGGACTCCTGGCAAGAGGCTGCACAGCTGCAAAGCTGGCAGTGATGGAGCTACAGGGTAAAGCATATGAAATGCTGATGCTCTTTATAAGCCTGGCAGAACATGGTTCCTCTACCAAAGGAGCCCAGAAGAGAAGGTGACCCAAGAAGAGAAGCTTGCTGCTGATATTATCCCCTGTAGAAAAAAGGCAAAGAACCCTTATTCAGGTCTGAACCACCTTTATTCCACATCCATTGATTTACTTTGATGGAGAGGGAGTTTCCTTTGTTTTATTTTATCAAGAGACATATCATGGAGAGCCATTTGAAACCAGGTATTAAAGTCTGGACTAGTTAACTGTGCTTAGGAGTACTGAGGGTAAGGGATCACCCTGATACAAGGTGATAGTTTCTGGCATCAGAAGGCAAAATTAATAGGAAAAAAAAAAACAAGTGACCTTGTTTTGAGTCTCTCATGAAGCCCAAATTGTTAAAATTCTGTGGATTTAGAGAAGAAACTGTTTAAGAGCCTCCTGTATGCAAAGAGGCTGTTAGTTCCTATTGCCATATATGTTCTGGCCTAAAAAGTGGAAAAAAGAGAAACTGCAACAGTGCTGCTGTGCTCATTTTGAGGGGGCAGTGGGACAGACAGCCAGGCTCTGCTGTGAGTGAGGCAACCAGCTGGCCAGATCCAGGAAAGAACTGCAAAAATGATTAGAAGTTTTACTTCAAGTGCTATGTAAACATCCTTAATAGGTTACCTTGTTTCCCTGTTTTGTTCTTCTTTTTTCCTTTGGTAAACTAGCGCTTTTTAAGTCAGTTGATTTCTGCTCATGAATGAGGAAAACTAACAGCCTGAGCAGGTGAAGTTGTTTAATTTAGTTTACTTTTCTCAGGTTTCTGGGTGGAGGCTCAAGCTGAGGCTTTACTAGCAGGGTTTTTTAAATGTAAGCCCAGCCCTTTTATTGCCAATCAAGTTCTGTCAGAAATGTGATACTTTCAATTCTGGCCCTTTTCAGCTGTAAAACTTTTATTGGCCTCTACCTCAAATGCACTGACTAAGAGTTCAGAGTTCATCTGCAGCATGAACGCTTTTGAGCAGAAAAACATGCATTCCAGAAGAACGATCTGCAAGCCTTGTGTGCCTCCAACATTTGTATGGCACACATCCATTTGCTTCAAAACTCTGGCCTTCCGCTCCTAGTATCTTCTAAACTTTTAATAGCCTGTGAACATGACTTTGGTACAGCTGTGTTACTGACTTTTCTTTGCCAGGAGCTGTCTTTGAAACAGGCAGGAGGCAGAAATCTGGCTTTCAGACCACCTCCGTTCCATGTTAACCCACAGGATGTAACCTCACTAGAAAGAACAGGACCATCACTTTCCACCCCATGTTCTCTCCCTTGCCTGCCTTTCTGCCCACGGCACTGGGCTCAGCCACAGCTTTCTGTGCAGTAGGGGATTTTCTGAGATTTCAAGAATTTGGACATTCTCCTGACTGTTGGGATGGTGGACAGCTCTAAGCCAAACATCTTTGTGCAATTATACATGATCTTGAAATAGCTGCTGTTTCAGTTGAAATTAATGCATGATTAATTTCGGAACACCCAGCAGAAGGCATCCTTGTAATGAGTGGACTATGCCTTCGTGACTACTTTGTAGGTAGTGCTTGGTGCAATAATCTAAATCAAACATTCCCTGGCTAATAACGTATTAGGTGGCAACAGTGTAAACTGCCGTGGTGTGCTCTAGTAGCACTCAACACGGCATTACCAGGAAAATGTGCAGCAGTCGAAAGCAGGGATATTCATGGAGGATCTGGTATCAAAAATACTGCTATTAGCACAAAGTGATTCTGTGTCTGTGTCACCCTTCCATCTCTCTGCTGAAAACTGGGCCAAAATCAAACTTCTTTCACATACCCTGAAAGAAGAAAGTTTTTATAGCGAAAATGTTACAGCATGGAAGTTCAGCTAGCTATGATTCTATAATGGACTTTTAATGCATGGAACATTTTTTTCTGATTATCACATGGAGTTGACTTTTTTTTCTTCCCCCCATCCCGATTATTTTCTGCCTTGAAAAATACTTATGTTTCACTAATTTGATTAGTTCTTAGGTATTCAGTCCCTTTTTCTTCCATTATGGCAGTAGGAAATTTGAAGATAAAATAGATGCTTGAAAGTTCACAGATGACTCTTCTAAGTATTTCTTCAACTGAAATATACAGATTACAAAGAAATTGTAAGGCAGGACTCGATCTGTACAAAAGTGAGATTACCATAAAAACCCACTCCAAAACCCAGAAAAAGAAAATGTCATGATTTAGATCAATTAGCACTTCTAGTGAAAGATTCCCCCCTTGCCATGTTGTATTCTTTCCTGGAAGAGAATTTTCAGAAGCAATTCATTCTCTGTTCAGCTGGGGCCTTTCTTTCCTGTGCATGGTCTTGAGATTTATTTGAGACGGAGTATTTCAAATTATTACATGCTAACAGTATTATTTAATGAGAGAGTGTGTAAAAAAAACCAAACACCAACAACCCATTACATTACATTAACACATCTCATTTTCTTTTGCTATATAGCATATTATAACTGGAGCTAGTTAGGAAATTTCAATATAAATTTCCTTTCTTTTTTTTTTTTTTTATTAAGTGTCAGCCTGAACATTAAATCAATATAACTATGTGAACTGAATAAATTGTTTTCAATCTAAAGATGCACCCAGTGTAATTACACATTTTAAAGACTTTTTTTTTATTGGCAATTTGCAATAGTTTTAAAAATATCTGTAGCATATAATTTGTCATAAATTCTCAGACTGTCATGTCAGCATTGGCACTGCCTGTCAAACTTACATCAATGCCTTCCTGTCACATAGCATGAAGTGACATAACTCAAAGTGACGGAATGAGGTTTGTTGGAAATTTTTGTTAAATAAAGCACAAATTATTTAGATAATTCACCCTTCCAAAGAACATGAAATGTTAGCAAGGAAAGGTAGTTTTCAGCTTTGAAGTGCAGTGGCTAAGAAGTTATTGCATGTCTACTTTCATTTAAGAGTTACAAGTTTAAAATTGTGCTCTTTATGACTTTTCTGTTCAAGCTAATTTGGTCATTTTCAAAATATTTGTTAGATGATGAAACTAGACAAAGCAGAAAAACGCCATTAGCGGTGATACCTTCAGATAGAAACCGCCCATTGAGGCTTTCTCCAGTGCTGAGGTTGCAAAATCGCTGCGGTAAACCGGCCCAGCAGCCCCCATAGCCAGGCACAGGGCTATCTCCAGTGACCTGTGGCCAGGTTCTGTCTTCTCCGCTTCTACTGCGGATGCGACTCTTGGCCAGGGGTTCACTGCATGGAAATCTGTTGCTGATATAACACCCCTTAGGGCCTGTAAGCTTCAGATAGTCCTGGATTCACATGTATATGTAACCATGGCTTATTCTCCAACCTGGACCTCTAAAGCCTAGAGACTGAATTTGGGAAGTCGTTTGTAGATGGACTGCTGGTCTTGCTTTTTGTAGGGAAACAGGAAAAGGAAACTTCTGCTTTCGTTTTTGCTTCCTTCCTGCAAACTGGTGAACTGGTGGGCTCTAGTGCATGTTTATACTAAAAAAAGTACACAACAAAATCACAGCACTCTGAACAAAGCAGCACTTTCCTGGTAGCTCCCCTGAAAAGGCTAAGAATGAGATCCAGGAAGGTGAGTTAGCTCCAGGACTGTGTTTAACACACTGTCACAGTGACGGGTTCTGTGATGAAACAGCTCTGTAGCCTGCTACAGTTATTTTGGTAGCAACTTTCAATGTCAGTTTTTACTTATTTTTACATTTTTAGCTTAAACCAGTTATTCAGATAAGCAAATGCAGCAATGTATTGTGAATTGTACCAACTTGGCACCTGGAAGCGTGCAAACAGTTGTGATTGACTGGCAGCTGGTGAAGAAAAATTCGTGGCAGAAAAAGTGAAGAATGCGCAAAGTAGAGAAGCACAAAGTCTTGTTTAACTAAATTGCCTTGCTCTCCTATAATT